GCCTACAGCGTCAGCACCATCGAGCCCCGGGAGGACCTCCTGTCGCCGGTGCAGGACGCCGACCGCTTTTACAGGGGCATTTTAGAACCAGACAAACACTGCTCCACCACCCCCGCCGGCAACAGCCTCCCGGAATATCCCAAATTCCCGTGCAGCCCCGCTGCTTACACTTTCTCCCCTAACTATGACCTGAGGCGCCCCCACCAGTATTTGCACCCGGGGGCAGGGGACAGCAGGCTGCGGGAACCGGTGCTCTACAGCCCCCCGAGTGCTGTCTTTGTAGAACCCAACCGGAACGAATATCTGGAGTTAAAAGCAAAACTAAACGTTGAGCCGGACTACCTCGAAGTGCTGGAAAAACAGACCACATTTAGCCAGTTCTAAACGCAAAGAAACTCCCTTGGAGATTTTGCATTTAAAACCAACAAGCAAGCAGACACACACGGTGAACACATTTGATTATTTGTGTTGTTTCAACGTTTAGGGTGAAGTGCCTTGGCACAGGATTCTCAGCTTCGGCGGAAGATACTGAAAGGGTGTGCAATTTCCTTTTAATTTTACACGTGGGAAACATTTGTGTAAACTGGGCACATCGCTTTCTCTTGCGTGTGGGGGAGGAAAGGAGAAGGGCTTTGTGGAGGGCAGTTTGCTGCGCGGGGGACTGGTTCAAGGTGGCAGTCCTTTCTGTAGTGGTTGGAAGTGCTAAGAGTGGCGGACGATGACAGCACGTAGATTCTACTCTTCCTCTTTTGCTCCTCGCCACCTTCCATTCTCCCCCCTTTAAGCCATGGGTGGGTCTGTATGGCTTTGGCGGAGAGATTAGCACACCCCAACTTTAATAGGAAGTTTTTCTCTCTCCTTTCCCTCCCTCCCTCTTCCTCCCTCTGATCCTCCCTTCTCATTCCTTTCCTTTGTTTTTGAAGGATGTGTTTGTATGCATTCTGGACATTTGAATTAAAAAAAAAAAAAGTATTGTGATCCTGAAAAGGATCGCCATAGATGTGGACAAATCATTAAAATTACAGAGCTATATGATCCATAATTGATTAGTCAAAATAACTTATTGATGAAATATACAAATATTTTATTGTAGCACCTATTTTTATATGCACATTTAGCATTCCTCTTTCCTTCAGTATTTAGCCTATGATTTTCGCAGAGGTGTGGTATTGTACTAAGAGCTGCATTTCCAAAACTGAAGTGATATCAGGAAGGCGTTTTAAATCATCAAAAATGTGGAGAACTTCATGGCAAAACCCTTAAAAGCCAATGCAACCTATCCAATTGGATCTGTAATTAAAACAAACAAACAAACAAACTGTATCTCAACGCATAAAACAAAAATATAGGGCAATTTATTGGGCCATTGGGGTGAGAATTGGTGCAAGTTTTTGGTTTTATTAGAGAAGATTTCAAAGTATTTTTATTAGTGAACCAAAATGATGTATTCATTTGACTACTATTGTAGCCGATTTTTGATTGTTTAACCAAACCCAGTTGCATTTGTACAGATCCACCTGTTCTGGCACCTCAGAAGACCAAATGATGAACTGTACAAGTCTATACAATGTCTTTATCCCTCTGGGCAGCAAGCAATGATGATAAGGGCAAACAGGATCTCTGTAAGATGGGGCTACTGTTGTTACAGTCTCATATGTATCCCAGCACATGTAATTTTTTAAATAGTTTCTGAATAAACACTTGATAACTATGTCAAACATGAGAGGTTGAAGTAATGATTACTCAAGAGGCAAAAAGCTTAGTTCTGTGTGATTGATGGAATTCCCATTCTTAACAATTTAGGAAATAGTTAAACTTTGTTCCTCATATAAAAAACAATCATCCTAAACATCAAAATTTTAAAGTATACCTATAAATACATAATTTATGTTTTTGTTGGTTCAGGGAAATCTATTTTTCTGAATGAGTCACTTAATGTGTTTATTAATGATATTTCTTTCAATCATATACCTTGTCTCCTTATTGACATATCTAATACATGGAACATGGTAAGTAATATATTACATATTCATTTTTCTCTCATAGTATGTATTTTTTATATCGACATTATTTATTCAGTCTACAGTTTTTCATTATTTCTATATTTTAACTTGTGTAAAACTGCCTTCAACAATTATGATGGATACTATATCTAAAGTTGATTAAGATTCCACATGTTGAAAATGTTGATGGTTGTTAGCTGTTCACCTCAAAGTAAGGTTTGGCAGTGAACTTCAATTAGTAGTTACTGGTAGGAGGTGTTTAAATTAATCTGAAACTTAAAAGAGTCATGTGCTTCAATGTTATTGATAGATCTCTCCATACATTTCATTTGGAATATATGTAGTACCAAGAGCTGTTCATGAACTTTGTGTGTGATGAACAATTTCCGTGGCATTCTGCCACAAAGAGGCAGCATTCACCCATGAGTAAATTGACAGTAACTACTTGAATACAGATTGAACAGGTGGTAACAGTTTCCCTAAGGAATTAAAAAAAAAAAATTGTAATGCTTCATTGGTCAAGTGCAGTAAGCTATTCATATTCTTTGTAACATTTTCCCTTACAGATTTCTTATTTCAAAGGGAAAAGGAATAAGCTTAGTAATGTCATGATATTATCATGAAAAAAATGTATCTCTTGTTCTTCATCTACCTCGAACATTAGAAAAGAAAAAAAGAAATTGTAGCATTTGACTACATAATTGGGGTTATCTTGTCTTCTTCACAGTGGGAATTTCTTTTTTCTTTTAAAACTGTCAGTATCACATCTTCTCACACACACACACACACACACACACACACACACACACATATATATAATACATATATTATTCAATGTTTTATAAATTATAAAATGTTAATGCAAAGTGGAATCTTCCATATAACTAAGTTTTATTTCTTAATTGATGCATAAAATTAGATGAAAATTATGTGAAATTTCAGACATAGTTATGGGCAATATAAGTAACTTCCAAAGAAAGTAATTGATGTATTTTTCAGATATTTACAAAATCATATTCTTTTCAAATCAGCACTTTTTCATATAATACTGTCAGATATACTATCTTCAGGTAGTCAGTTTCTATTTCAATCTTTTTTCGGGTGTTCAACATTTTTAAATCTTGAAAATAACAATTACCTGATTTAATAAATCTGATTACTTTTAGAACACATGCTGTATGTTTTTGACCATCTGAATTTTGGTAGTTTGGAGTATTCACTGAGTCAGTATTTAGACTCAGTATACCAGTGGTTTGTGATTGGACTAAGGAACCCTGCAAATTCTCTCCACAGATTTTTGGGGAATCAAATTTAATGTTTCAGGCATCAATTAAAATTTGGATATAAAATAAGTTCATATTTTGTTCTTTTTCTATTTATATGTTGCACAATCCCATAGAAATATATTTCCATATAGGTATTACAAGATGTTATTTTTTTCCTCTAAACGGGTATCGTGTAAATTAATTTACATTATTTCAGAGAAAATAAATATTACATATAAATGTAGACAATCTGTATGCTAACATACAAAATCATTTACAGTCTATATTGATTGAGATTATGAGTTAAACAACTTTAGCATAAATATCACACTTGAAACATATTTTTTAGGCAAGATTATCATCTTTAAACATGTAAAGTGGAAAATTTCTACTACTGTTCTGAATAGGGAAGCCTCTCATCATTATTCCTTCCACCACAATGGAAAAAAGAAAAAAACTTAGTGTAAAATCCTAACATCTATAAATAATGTAGATGTTACAATTTAAGAACTTAATCAAATATTGCAGTTTCATGCCTTATCCATTAATTCTATTCTTATTTCATTGTATTGTTGGCAAATTATTCAAATTAATGTGTATACTTTTCTTTCTTTCTATTTTTATTCACTCTCTTCCCTTTTTCTTATATCTCATTCTTCCCTTCTTCCTTCTTTTTTCATATTTTTTCTCTTCATTATTTTTCAGTTGCACAAAAGTGAGAATAGTTCTGTCCTTGTTTGAAATGCCAAAAATTGATTATTTAATTTTACGAGCTCAAAAGTTGTTTCTCAGATCCACATGACTCCAAATTACTGAAAATAAAGGAGACCATAAATATGCTTTCCATTCATTTAGAAATATGTGCTTCTTGTACTTTCAGATGGCTCCAAATTAAGATGCTTTCAGGCATGGTAAAATGTTCTTTTTTATGACTATTTATTTAAGAATAAATTTATAGAAAGAAGGAGAAGCTTAAAAACAGCAAAGGAACTGATTTAAATACTAGAGGCCTTGCACATTTAATTGATTTTCAAAGGGTAGAAGGTTATGAAAGTGGTAATTCCACTGTTATCAAATTCACTAATGTATGGATACTGTATCTTGAACCCCTTGAAGTTCTCCACGATTTCTTGCAAAAATAAATATGAGGTAAAAAATTAATCTAGTTGTATAAATGTTAGTCACTTGCTTAAACATAGTGGTATAACACCTATGTTTATAGACGCCTGTTTCCATTCAGAATATATTTGACACCTGTGTATTTTTTATCATTACTTTTAATGTGACTTAACACTTTTCTATACTCATGTATATTTCCATGAGTCTATGTAACAAGAATATGGCATGCAGTAACAGATGGTTTATCAGCCATTGCATATGCAATTCTCATGCAGGGCTTTTTATATTTTAATATTTTTAAAAATTTCAAATTTCACTTTTAAATTTCATGCTTTAAAAATGTTAAATTGAGAGAAACAAATTTGAAGCAGTAAAATGTTTGAATTTAACAATAATATAACACTTCTTTTCTTCCTTGGTTTTTATCAGATCATTGACTTAGAAGAAACAGGTCAAATATTTTTCATGGTACTTGTAGTAGTATTTCAAAATGAATAATTTTGTAGTCATTTTTTAAAAAAGGAACATTTAACTGTGAGTGATTCAGAAGCAATCTATTAAGGAAAATGAAGTTCAAAATAGGAACTTTCATAGAGAATTGATGCAAGGCACATATGAAATAATTTGGCTTTCTTATGTTCTATTTACTGTTCAAATAAAAATATATAATGCTAGATGTATCAGATATATCTTTATTAAATATTCGGAAAGTTATTTATAGAAGAATGTGATATTCATAGAGAGATGTTGAATGGCAATCTATCAGTGATTTTTTTTTTTTAAATTAGGTGTCTTTAGCAGTAAAAGTGAAAGTCTATTATATTTCCACCATAGAATAAACACATACATGTTTTTAAAATACTCATGTTTGTTAAAGTAGAGATTATAAACTGATGGAATTGTGGATTTTGAATGGTAGAATTTTTTTGTTTTCTTTAAAATTTTTTATAAAAACTTGACATATAGAAGAATTGTAGCTTTATCTTGAAGATTCATTAATATTTTGCATTCTTTGGACAAGCTTATTTTAAGTTCTTATATTTTAAGATATATGTGAAGATCACTATATAAATTTTATTCAAATTTAAGTATACTATTTCAATAATGAATTCCGTTGATATATATACAAGTAGTAAAATTCTGTTATTTTCTAATGTTCTAGAATTTGCATATTTTAGATTTTTACTCACAAGTTCTTTCCTACCACCAGTGATCATTTTTAGTGTTCCCAATCAACCATTTTCAAGCACCTTATTGTATAGTTTACTAATAACGGAATTAATATTGGTTATTGAAAGCAAATCACTATATATTTTCAATTTTACATATGTTCATTAAATTAAAAAAGAACTGTGGTAGTAACCTCATGTTAATTTATTAGCAAAGTTCTCTGTCAGATATTATAATACTTTGACCAGCATATTTTATACATGAAAGGTTTATCAGGGTCATGCATATTAAACTTTTAAATATTAAACTTACAATTTTATATATTCAATAAATCTATCTTAACCTATAAGGACATGTCAACATAAATTATACACGCAAAATCAATGCTTTTTAACATTACAACTATAGAATTATTTTTGTTACATTTAAATCCAAAGTCAAAAAGGTGTTTCTAATAATACTGGAAAAGCTAACTAGCAAATTTATTTAAACACTGAATTATAAAATTTACTTTAAATCTTCACTCCGAAATATAAAATTCATGGTCCATCTTTTTCTTTTGATTACTAAACTCTGTCCTTGCTAAAATCCCCTTAAAATATATGAATACACATATAATTATTTCTTCATATTTTTATTTTTATTTGGTATTTAGGTACCAAATATTAAAATATATAGTTATAAGCTAGTATTGTCAGATTATAATTAAATTATCTATTCATAGTATCCCTCGATTTTGTAATTACCCCTGAATTTTAAATCTATTAAATAAAATATTCATATATGTGCTTCCAAATGAGAACATTGAGATCCAGAAGTTACTCATATATTTAAAAATATTAAAATTGTACACCTAACTCTCATGAAATAAGTATAACGATATTTTTTCACCCAGTTACAATTAAAGATCTCCAATTCTTGATAAAATTTTAGCATTTTATTAGAAATTTTAAAAATAAAAGTGTAAAAAATTATTGACAAATTTAAAATATGTTTTCTTAAGTTAACAAAATTATATATATATAAAACCATTACAAAGTGTCTTTCTATAGAACTACACATTTTACAAATTTGGTAATTTCATATGGCTTACAGTCTTTGACTTTTATGTTAACAACCCACTCTGTGTTCCTTTAAGAATGTTTGGTG